TCTGAATGAGTACTGCTTCCAATTTTGTTGTGACTTCTTTACAGATCACAAAATTAAGAAATAGGTAGCAACAGGGAAGGGGAACTATCAAAAAAGAAGTCATGATTAAAAAAAAAAAAAACTAATATTTTCTAAGATAGTGATAGACAAAATATTTCGTCAAACGGACTGACAATGTCTTCTTTTTTTTACTTCAGTGCCTGGTTGCCTGTCAGTGCCAAACACGTTTTCAATCAAATATTAATGGAGCATTGGTAATAATGTTAGTCTGTCAGCAAAATACAGGGTGCCCACAAAATTTATTCACTTTTTGACTTCCTATAACTTCTTGATTTTTTTTTCTTTTTTCACATTCATGCACCGGAATTGCCCATGTATAATACGCATTGTTTTTCTAAAAAATAATAAGGAAAATCAGAGGTCCGTATTATGCACAGTTACAAAAAATCTTTAAAAATTGCTGTAAAATAAAATTAAAATTATCAGAAAACTAAATTAGAATAATATTATTCTATGTTTAAAACCATTTCTTTAAATAAGAATAGGAAATGCTGGGCGTAATAAAATTGGAGAGGTACAATTTATAGGGTTTGATTACCAAACAAGGAGTGCGTATTATGCGCCAGTAGAAGCATTTTTCTACACTTTCAGTGCATTTTTAGAGGGAGTATTATACACAGCTATAAAAAAAAAATCTTTAAAAAATTGCCGTTTCATCGGTCGACTTCAGTTGGGAATTGACTATTCACCACAAACATACAACTAATTGACACTAACATTCAGCAATTGTAATCCGATAAAGATGACAACGAAGAGACATGAAGAGATGTGGTTCTACTGAAGAGTGTCCTTATAAGCAAACAAAATAGTTTTGAAAGGGATCAATAATAGGATCACCTGCGGTTACTCACTGACGATCTATGTTCAAACTCAAGTATCGGCAGCGACAATTTACTTCTATATAACACTAGCAGCATGATAAATTATATAAAAATTTATAAACAATTATGAACAAGACGAAAGCAGCATTAAGAACATTATAAAAAATGCATAACACCGGTTGACAATAACGAAAAAATTAGATTAATTTAAAACCTACAACATTATAATTAAAAATAATAATTCACCGCTTTAAACAAAATTAAATAGGGCGAATATTATCTACGAATTTAAATGCTCATTAAGGAATTGTATTCCTGATCAATCAAAATTCGTAAATAATTATATAGGCCACACTACAACATATTTGACACGCAGACTCACTCTACACCTTTCTGACCATAGATCAATTAGATCGCATTTAAATATTCATGGAGACCTACCCGATCCTATTCGTAACAATAATTCGTATAATAGCATCATCCACATGCAAAAAAGGCTAAAAATAATGGAAGCCTTATTAAGAAAAACAAAAAAAGCAACACTCAATAATATCAACTATAAACATGGACACAATATCTTGACCGTGTTTTGAAAAATGAAAACATTTTATAAAAACATACAAAAAAGAAACTATTTCTTATTTAACAGTAAAAATATATAATCCTTGAAAATGCCCAAATGTGAAACGGGAAGATTTCGGATAAAAAGAATATTCAGACAGTTTTTATATAATTTATTATATGAAAAGAAAAAATATGAGAAATTGTATGAAAAATTAAATAAAAGCACCTTGTCTGTCGTATTCAATGAAATGTGGATGAAAGAAGAATTGTTGCCGAAATACACACACACACACACACACACACACATACACACACACACACACACACACACACACATATATATATATATATATATATATATATATATATATATATATAAATAAAGAACAAATACTATATTCCATGGTCATAATTTTATTTACTGAATCAATATGATCCAATTCATCAGATCTACGAATTCAAAAGGAAAAATTTGTAGGTCTGATGAATTGATCGTATTTACGATTCCAATGGAATAAATTATGACCATGGAATATTAGTGTTAAGCCTTTTATTATATCCTTACATGTCCTGGACATTGAGTTCTACCTGATTCTTCCTCTTGAATTTTTATTCTAAAAATATACATGTATGGGTATTTATATATTTTGCATACGTATGTATATTTACCACTAATATTATCTATCTATCTATCTATCTATCTATCTATCTATCTATCTATCTATCTCTCTCTCTCTCTCTATATATATATATATATAGGCATTTAAAACAACATGCCTGGCCGAACACACAATTCCGTAAAATCCTTGTAGAAAACACAATTATACTTAAACATGAAAACAATGAACAAAAACGAAAAGTCCTTGAAGCTATATATGTCAAACAGTTAAAACCTAACCTAAACAAATCAACTATGGAATCTCTACAAATATCCTTAAATGTCTATAATTGGTAACAGAAGCCATTGGTTTATACTAACGGCTTCCCATACTTAATACTTCTCGAATTCACTTTTCGCGTGGTCATTTGTGACGTCATGAGCTGCGGTGTGATTTTCGCTTCTAGAGACTTATATGCACGTGTTTATCGTTGCTAGGAAATTATCCATGTAAACAATAGCAGACTATCATCACTGTCTTGTCCGTATATTGTTTAATATATTGTACAGTAATTGACATCTTTGATAATGGCTTCTGTAAGCCGAAAGCTTAGATTGGATTAAAAAATATGGATCAATATTTGTGATCTTCGTTTAATGATAATGTTCTTAATCTTATCAGACGTTATGAAAACAATTTACATAAAATAAATACACAACACTTGTCTACATTATTTAATTTAATGAAATATATATATATATATATATATATATATATATATATATATATATATATATATACACACACAATAAGCGTAACAGCAAAATTGTTCAAATCGTGTGACAGCAAAATTTTCCAATAGTTAGATAAGGCTTTGAACCGTTGTATCTTAGAAATGATTAAAGAGATCTTACTGTAATTCAGGCTTCATAACACTAGTAGACTGTCCAATGAGCAATAAGAATGTATTATTTCTCTTCAAGCTTAACAGAGAAATCGTGATGAAATCGATTATAAAACGAAAATGACATGTTCATAATTAATCACACCTAAGGATGCAAATCTCATGTAGTAATGAAATAAATATATATATATATATATATATATATATATATATATATATATATATATATATATATTCAAGGGTCATTTTTCAAATTATTCATTGTGATCCCCACCTTCTCTATTCTCTAACCATCTGATTTTGTCTCCTGGAGTAACAAGTTTTTTTTTCACTGCTCTTTGGGCTGAAACTCCTCTCTCACGTGCCAAAAGAAATTATGGATTGAGTTGAATCTTTTCTAATTGATCTCTTTAGCTCTAAATTGAAATGATGAGCCCTCTTGCCGTTGTGACCTCGTGATTCAATGTTCCTCTCTAGTGTAGCCACAATATCAATGTTGTTACCATAAGTGAAGGTTCCTTTCACCTTTGACACAAAACCATTTTAACCTGTTCTCTTTCTAGCTGAATAACTCAAACGGTTTTTCAATGATTCTTACGACACAAGATGGCTAAAGGTATTTTCTGAAAACCTGGAAAAATGTAACTCAATGTAGTCGGTTTTTGGGGGTTTTTTTTGTTTAGATATTAAATATTTTATGAGATGGACATTTATGACGTTACGTTTTGGACAATTTTGCTGTAAGACCTGGTATATATAGAAGAAAATGATATATAAAACTATAGATTAAAACAATATTAAGAAAATTAATTCATACAAAATAAATTAATAATAAGCTAAAACCTGAAGGAAGAATTTACACTTACACCTGTAAATAAAGGGGAACCTCGGCGTGGTGTAATGGTTAACAAGCTTGTCTTGCTAGATCAGGTACTACTGAAAAGTGAGTTCGATCCTCACTGGATGTACCATACTTTCGGCCTTGTGCCACATCTAAGCTACGCTTGGAAAATCTCTACATTTGTAAATAAAGTATAAGAAAACAACACACTCAGTGTATTAGTTGCTTCCCGTAATGAGTCTGACCATAAATTTGATTTTAAAAATCCTTCTGCTTTAATTAAGATGATAAGCAATTTATAAGACGAAAATGTATAGTAAATACTTAAAAGTAAATTTAAATGGTTAGATTGAAACCCACGTTAGAGTTTTTTTCTCTGGCACGTCTCACTTATGGAAATCTCAGACTGCTTCTTGCTTCTAAGTACTATTTGATCTTCAAAAATTTGGACGCTACGTCAATCGTTATCTTCTGTCTTATTAATTCCTTGTTAATTCCTGTTCATTTATTGTTCTCTGTCCTTAGTGTTTTCCTCATATTATCTCACTAGTAACAAGGCCCGGCGTTGCCCGTGCTTGATTCAAAAATCGTAACATCATAAATGCCCATCTCATAAAATCGTACGACTCATACAGCAATCGCTATCACTTGACTTAAAATATTTTTGCCCTTCCTTGCCTTTTAAAGGAGTGCCTTTTGCCGTGCTGATGTTGTTACATGCCTTACTTCTTGCCTATCTCACACTGCAAATTTTTTCTAAGCTCTATACTAAACATTAAATCTGTTACGAAAAAAGAACTAAACAAAATGAACACAAAACGATCAGCTTTAAAAAAGGACTCGTAACTGGAAAAACCGAATGAAAAAGAATGTTAACAGCAAATACTTTTTCACACCCATCCCAGTACTGCGGAATTAGAATCAACGAAATGATTCAAAATAATTTGTTTAATTTGCTTTTCTTAAAACTCTACAGAATTATTTAAAGAATTGGAAAACAGATGTTCGTTTTAAAAATGCATATTGTTATATGAAATGTTACGATGGATAGTTAACAAACTCTACATTGTTGCTTACTATAATTACCCGAGTACCGCTCAGCGTAGATTAATTTTGACAGAAAAAATTTAATTAAAGACGTAGACGATGTGAACAGAAAAAAAAGCCAAAAAAACTACACACTCGTAACTAGCTTACAAAGCATAAAACTATCACGAATATTTAAAACGAGAGAAAAAAGAAATAATAAAGAAGAAGAAGAAGAAGAAGGGAATATGTGATGTAGAGAAAAATGAACAAAGAATTAGTAAGAAGAAAAAGAGAGTGTGTTCTGAAGAATTAGGTTGCAAAAGAATCAATAGGGAGTAAAAAGAAGGAGGAATGTCTTCGGAAGAGAACAGAGTGTAGAAAGCCCATCCCGGTAGGGGTGTAAAAGAGATGGTAGCAAATGGATGGAGAACAGGGTAGCAAAAAGAGGATGGTGAATTGGTAAAAAGGGGAATGTAAAAACAGAGAATCCCGGTAGGAGGAAATGAATTGGTCTTCGAAAGAGAACAGGCTGAAGAAAGCCCATCCCGGTAGGGTGTAAAAAGAGGATGTAAAATGAATTGGTAGGGAGGTGGAGGAAATAAAGAGAACAGAGAGGAAAGCCCATCCCGGTAAAAAGAGAATTGGTAGGAATTGGTAGGGAGTAAAAAGAAGGAGGAATGTCTTCGGAAGAGAACAGAGTGTAGAAAGCCCATCCCGGTAGGGTGTAAAAAGAGGATGGTAGCAAATGAATTGGTAGGGAGTAAAAAGAAGGAGGAATGTCTTCGGAAGAGAACAGAGTGTAGAAAGCCCATCCCGGTAGGGTGTAAAAAGAGGATGGTAGAAGGAGGAATGTCTTTTAAAATGAATTGGTAGGGAGTAAAAAATTGGTAAGGAGGAATGTCTTCGGAAGAGAACAGGCTGAAGAAAGACCATCCTTGGTAGGGATTAAAAAGAAGGAGGAATGTAAAAGAGGATGGTGGTAGCAAATGAATTGGTAGGGAGTAAAAAAGAAGGAGGAATGTCTTCGGAAGAGAAAAAAGAAGGAGGAATGCAGAGGAAGGTAGAAAATGAATTGGTAGCCCATCCCGGTAAATCCTGGGGTGTAAAAAGAGGATGGTAGCAAAATGAATTGGTAGGGAGTAAAAAAATGAATGGAGGAATGTCTTATCCTGGTAAGAGAACAGAGTGTGAATAGCCCAAGAAGGAGGAATGCAGGTAGGGTGTAAAAAAGAGGATGGTAGGGATTAAAAAGAAAGGAATGCAAATGAATTGGTAGGGAGTAAAAAAAAGAAGGAGGAATGGAATCATTAGACGAGAACAGGCTGGAGAAAGCCCATCCCGGTAGGGTGTAAAAAGAGGATGGTAGAAAATGAATTGGTAAGGAGTAAACAGTAGGAGGAATGTCTTAGGAAGAGAACAGGCTGGAGAAAGCCCATCCCGGTAGGGGAATAAAAAAAGGAGTGAGGGAAAAGATTGAAAAATGAATAGAGGGAGTGGAATGCAGAGAGGGGAAGAAGATAACGGTGAGAAAAGAATCGGTAATGCAGAGGTGGAAGAAAATGAATAGGGAGTAAAAGAAAGGAATGGAGAGGTGGAAATGAATAGGTAGGGAGTAAAAAGAAATGGAGTGGGAATGAATGGAGGAAAAAAGAGAGTGGCAAAGGTAAAAATGAATAGGTAGGAGTAAAAAGAAAGTGGAATGGGAGGTGGAAAATGAATAGGTGGGAGGAAAAAAGAAAGTGGAATGCAGAGAGGTGGAGAATAGGTAGGGAGTAAAAGAAAGTGAAATGCAGAGAGGTGGAAATGAATAGTTAAAAAGAGGGAATGCAGTAAAATGAATAGGTAGGGGAAAAAAAAGAAGTGACGAGAGGTGGAAAATGAATAGGGGAGTAAAAAGAAAGAAATGCAGAGAGGTGGAATGCAGAGAGGTGGAAAAATGAATAGGTAGGGAGTAAAAAGAAAAGTGGAATGCAGAGGTGGAAAATGATAGGTAGAGGTGGAGAAAAATGAATAGGTAGGGAGTAAAAAGTGAAATGGAATGCAAAATGAGAGGTGGAAAATGAATAGAATAAAAAGGGAGAGGTAAAAATGAAAGGTGGAATGGAGCAGAGGGTGGAAAATGAATAGGTAGGGAGTAAAAAGAAAGTGGAAATGCAGAAAATGAATAGGTAGGGAATAAAAGAAAGTGGAAAAGAGGTGGAAAATGAATAGGTAGGGAGTAAAAAGAAAGTGGAATGCAGAGAGGTGGAAAAATGAATAGGTAGGGAAAAAAATAAAGGGAATAGGTGGGAGGAATGCAGAGAGGTGGAAAATGAATAGGTAAAAAAAAAGAAAGTGAAATGCAGAGAGGTGGAAAATGAATAGGTAGGGAGGAATGGAATGCAGAGAGAGGGAAAATGAATAGGTAGGGGTAAAAAAGAAAGTGGAATGCAGAGAGGTGGAAAATGAATAGAGGGGAAAAATGAATAGGGGTAGTAAAAAGAAATGCAGAGAGAGGGGAAATGAATAGGTGGGGAGTAAAAAGAAATGAGAGGTGGAAAATGAATAGGTAGGGAGTAAAAAGAAAGTGAAATGCAGAGAGGTGGAAAATGAATAGGTAGGGAGTAAAAAGAGGGTGGAATGCAGAGAGGTGGAAAATGAATAGGTAGGGAGTAAAAAGAAAGTGAAATGCAGAGAGGTGGAAAATGAATAAAAAGGGGAGTAAAAAAGTAAAAAGAAAGGGAAATGCAGAAATGAATAGGTAGGGAGTGGAATGCAGAGAGGTGGAAAATGAATAGGTAGGGAGTAAAAAGAAAGTGGAATGCAGAGAGGTGGAAAATGAATAGGGGAGTAAAAAGAAAGTGGAATGCAGAGAGGTGGAAAAATAGGTAGGAAAAAGAAAGTGGAATGCAGAGAGGTGGAAAATGAATAGGTAGGGAGTAAAAGAAAGTGGAATGAGAGGTAAAAATAGGTAGGGAGTAAAAGAAAGTGGAATGCAGAGAGGTGGAAAATGAATAGGTAGGGAGTAAAAAAAAAAGTGGAATGCAGAGAGGTGGAAAAATAGGTAGGAATAGGTAGGGAATGCAGAAAAATGAATAGGTAAAAAAAAAATGCAGAGAAAAATGAATAGGTAAAAGAAAAAAAAGGGAATGCAGGGTGGAAAAATGAATAGGTAGGGAGTAAAAAGAAAGTGGAATGCAGAGGTAGGTGGAAAAATGAATAGGTAGGGAGTAAAAAGAAAGGTGGAATGAAAGAGGGTGGGAAAATGAATGGAGGTAAATGAATAAAAAAAAGAAAGTGGAATGCAGGGTGGAAAATGAATAGGTAGGGAGTAAAAAGAAAGTGGAAGAGGTGGAAAATGAATGGGTAGGGAGTAAAAAGAAAGTGAAATGCAGAGAGGTGGAAAATGAATAGGTAAAAAAAAGAGGGAATGCAGAAGAAAATGAATAGGTAGGGAGTAAAAGGTGCAGAGGGAAATGAATAGGTAGGGAGTAAAATGCAGAGAGGTGGAAAATGAATAGGAAAAAGCAGAATGCAGAGAGGGGAAAATGAATAGGTAGGGAGTAAAATGAAAGGTGGAAAATGAATAGAGAGGTGGAAAATGAATAGGTGGGAGTAAAAAAGAAAAAATGAAGAGGTGGAAATGAATAGGTAGGGAGTAAAAAAGAAAAGGAATGCAGAGAGGTGGAAAATAATTGAATAGGTAGGGAGGTGGAATGCAGAGGAATAGGTAGGGAAAAAATGAATAGGGTAGGGAGTGGAAAAAATGAATAGGTAGGGAAAAAAGGAAATTGGAATGCAGAGAGGTGGAAAATGAATAGGTAGGGAAAAAAAAAGTGGAATGCAGAGAGGTGGAAAATGAATAGGTAGGGAGTAAAAAGAAAAAGAGGTGGAAAATGAATAGGTAGGGGAGGTGGAATGCAGAGGTGGGAAATGAATAGGTAGGGAGTGGAAAGAGAGGTGGAATGCAGAGAGGGGAAAATGAATAGGTAGGGGAATGTAAAATGAGGGGTGGAATGCAGAGGGTGGAATGGTGGAAAATGAATAGGTAGGGAGTAAAAAAGAAAGTGGAATGCAGAGAGGTGGAAATGAATAGGTAGGAGTAAAAAGGAATGCAGAGAGGTGGAAAAAATGAATAGGTAGGGAGTAAAAAGGGTGGAATGCCCAGAGGTGGAAATGAAGGGAGTAAAAAAGAAAGGAAATGCAGAGAGGTGGAAAATGAATAGGGGAGTAAAAAGAAAGTGGAATGCAGAGAGGTGGAAAATGAATAGGTAGGGAGTAAAAAGAAATTGGAATGGAGAGAGGTGGAAAATGAATAGGAGTAAAAGAAAGTGGAATGCAGAGAGGTGGAAAATGAATAGGTAGGGAGTAAAAAGAAAGGAATGCAGAGAAAATGGGTGGAAAAATGCAGAGAGGTGGAAAATGAATAGGTAGGGAGTAAAAAGAAAGTGGAATGCAGAGAGGTGGAAAATGAATAGGTAGGGAGTAAAAAGAAAGTGGAATGCAGAGAGGTGGAAAATGAATAGGTGGAGTAAAAGAATGCAGAGAGGTGGAAATGAATGGGGGGAGTAAAAAGAAATGGGTGGAAAAGAGGGTGAAGCAAGTGGGAAATGCAGAGAGGGTGGAAAATGAATAGGTAAAATGAATAGGTAGGGAGTAAAAAGAAAGTGGAATGCAGAGAGGTGGAAAATGAATATGCAGGGAAATGAATAAAAAAGAGAAAGAGAGGTGGAAAAATGAATGCAGAGAAAAAGGTGGAAAAAAGAATAGGTAGGGAGGAAAGTGGAATGCAGAGAGGTGGAAAATGAATAGGTAGGGAGTAAAAAGAAAGGTGGAATGCAGAGCAGAGAGGTGGAAAATGAATAGGTAGGGAGTAAAAAGAAAAGTGGAATGCAGAGAGGTGGAAAATGAATAGGTAGGGAGAATAGGTGGGGAGTAAAAGAAAGGAAAAGAAAAGGTAGGTGGAATGCAGAGAGGAAATGAATAGGTGAATAGGTAGGGAGAAAAGAGAGGTGAAAATGAATAGGTAGGGAGTAAAAAGAAAGTGGAATGCAGAGAGGTGGAAAATGAATAGGTAGGGAGTAAAAAGAGGGTGGAATGCAGAGAGGTGGAAAATGAATAGGTAGGGAGTAAAAAGAAAGTGGAATGCAGAGAGGTGGAAAATGAATAGGTAGGGAGTAAAAAGAAAGTGGAATGCAGAGAGGTGGAAAATGAATAATAGGTAGGGAGTAAAAATGAATAGGTAGGGAATGCAGAGAGGTGGAAAATGAATAGGTAGGGGTAAAAAAAGAAAGTGGAATGCAAAAAATGAATAGGTAGGGAGTAAAAAAGAATGCAGAGAGGTGGAAAATGAATAGGTAAAAAGGGAATGCAGAAAAAATGAATAGGTAGGGAGTGGAATGCAGAGGTGGAAAATGAATAGGTAGGGGAATGCAGAGGTGTAAATGAGGGTGGAATGCAGAGAGGTGGAAATGAATAGGTAGGAGTGAATAGATAAAATGGGTAAGTAAAAAAATGAAATGCAGGAATGAATAGAGGGAGTAAAAAGGAAAAAAATGAATAGGTGGGAGTAAAAAAAAAAATGTGGAATGCAGAGAGGTGGAAAATGAATAGGTAGGAGTAAAAGAATAGGTGGGAGCAGAAAAGAGGTGGAAAAAATGAATAAAAAAGAAAAGTGGAATGCAGAGAGGTGGAAAAATGAATAGGTAGGGAGTAAAAAAGAGGGAGAGGTGGAAAATGAATAGGAGAGGGAATGCAGAGAGGTGGAAAATGAATAGGTAGGGAGTAAAAAGAAAGTGGAATGCAGAGAGGTGGAAAATGAATAGGTAGGGAGTAAAAAGAAAGTGGAATGCAGAGAGGTGGAAAATGAATAGGTAGGGAGTAAAAAGAAAGTGGAATGCAGAGAGGTGGAAAATGAATAGGTAGGGAGTAAAAAGAAAGTGGAATGCAGAGAGGTGGAAAATGAATAGGTAGGGAGTAAAAAGAGGGTGGAATGCAGAGAGGTGGAAAATGAATAGGTAGGGAGTAAAAAGAGGGTGGAATGCAGAGAAATGAATAGGTGGGAAAAGAGGGTGAATATGGGATAAAAAAAAAGTGGAATGCAGAGAGGTGGAAAATGAATGGGTCGAGAGTAAAAATTGGTTGGAATGTGGAGCGAGATAAATGGGTAGAAAAGGGATAGGTTGTGAGTAAAAGTGAGTGGGATGAAGATAGGTAGAACTATAAATGTGTACGGAATAAAGACTAATGTATAGATAAGGAGTAAAAGAATGGTTGAGTGTGAGGGGAAAGAGGGAGAGCAGACTAGAAAAGTATCGTCCAGAAGTAATTTAAGTTTACCATATAACGGGGAAAGAACCTTTTTCAAAGGAATACATAAGGAGTAAAGAAAATGCGTGTAAGTAGTGGAAAGTTCGTAGCAAAAGACGCAGTGGAGAGTAGAGATCTCGGTAGAAATTAACAGCGTGACAAACAGCTGGTGCAAATGACTGTCTATTTTGAAATATTTCATGTGGTACAAAACGAAAACGGTGAGTGGGAAATATTAGGTTGGTGTAAAAATAATGACGTAATAATATCGTTTTTTTGAGGTTAAAAAATACATCACAAAACGACATTATTACGTCATTATTTTTGCACCAACCTAATAGCTGGTTGTCACTAACTATCCTAAAGCTAGCCTAATCTTATTCAAGCCCCATCCATTCTTACAACTGATTCAATCACCACAAGAACTCCTCCATCACCATTTAATCCAACATATACCACAATACTTCATATTCACGGGGATAGGACACAAATCCCATAATATAAACATTTCTGGTATCTCGTTTACAGTCGCTCTCTCACTGGCACGCCGTCGTCCTCCTCTGTCTTTTCTACAAATACTTTCAACAAGCTACTTTCGCTAATTCCCAAACTGCACGAATTTAAACATGCTCCTAGATTCACATATCAGTCCCACCCTTTCACTGTCGAAACAGTTAAATGTAGGCGCCTCTTCTACTTCAATGGCTTCATGTCTTGCACTTTCCGCCTGTAGATCTCCCTTCTTCCTTGCTTCCCTGAGAGTTATAATCTCCAAATATTCAAATGCAATGTCAATCGAAATCTCCAGATGCTTTGATCTATTCCCCGTCCTTCTCTTCATCCTTTCCTCTATCACGCCTCTTTACTCATGCACCTACTCTTTGTCACCCCTTGCGTGCTAGTGACACTTCTGCCTTGCTTGAAGTGAAAAGCTTAAAAAGAAAAAAAATAATAATGAAATATTGTAATATATTATAAAAATATGTGACATGAAATGGGCTTGGGGGTGAACCAAATATTGAAAATATAGTGCAAAAACATTCAAACTAAAATAAAGTATGTTAGTTGCCCCCCCCCCAGAAAAATAAGTGACCACTGTATTCTGCCAAGTAGCCGAATCAAGCAGCTCGATCGCTAGAGGCTAATTTATGGAATAGGAAAACCAAGGGCTGACCCAATCAAGATAAAAAGGAGGCAAAACAAACTGAAGTTGGTAATCTTGACAAAAAGAGAATACCGGTAATAGCAATTACTATCATTAACTTGGTGAACAAAGAAGTCTAGTTTAACCAGAGGAGGGGTGAGTCAGGGAACCGCCCACTTGTGTAAAATAGAGACTAAAAAAGGGAATCAAGACTGGACTCCGTTCACACGAACCAGGTTCGCTACTTTCACCCACCTTTCAATGAAATACACCGATAACAAATGCTTTTTGTCAGTTCTGATCTTCATCCTGAGCCTGATGTACATAGACCGGTGAAAATGGTGAAAAGAGAACGGGATGGAAAAAGAATTGGTAGAGAAGAGAGATTTCGGGAAACGTCGCAGGAAAGGAACATCATAGACAAAGAATCTGAAGGGCAAATAGAGAGCGGGAATTGCGCATGAAAAGGAAAAAGGTAGAAAAAGAATCAGTAGGAAGAAAAGATATCGTGTTAAGAAAAAAGAAAGAGAATCTCTAACTATAAAAGGCGGGATGTGTGTGTGTGTGTGTGTGTGTGTGTGTGTGTGTGTGTGTGTGTGTGTGTGTGTAAACGAATGCACGGCCGCAATTTCCGACGGATTTGCACCAAAATTTACATGCACATGCTCCAAGTTAGCGGGAAGGCGAACACCGACTTTACATTTCCCAACTCCCATCGATAGTTGAAATAATCGATTTTTTCATGCTTCTACGGCACTTTTCATGTAGTTTACGGCCATTTTCTACTGGCCAGAGTGAGAGCCTATAGCTGTCTGCCACAAATAGACAGGAAGATACTATTGGCCAGCGTGAGAGCCAACAGCTGACTTACACGAATGGTAACTAGCATGCTAGCATGCAAAACAATCGATAGCTGCATTTGTCACAAGTGAGAAAAACTTTAATCTGCATGGCACTTTACTCCAATTGGCTCATTCGCTTGCTTAAACTCAACGTTGATTCTGATTCCGCAGAACTGGGTTGGGTGTGAAAAAGTATTTGTTGTTAACATTCTTTTTCATTCGGTTTTCCAGTTACGAGTCCTTTTTTAAAGCTGATCGTTTTGTGTTCATTTTGTTTAGTTCTTTTCTCGTAACAGATTTAATGTTTAGTATAGAGCTTAGAAAAAATTCGCAGTTTTAAATAGGCAAGAAGTAAGGCATGTAGCAACATCGGCACGGCAAAGGGCACTCCTTTAAAGGCAAGGAAGGGAAAAATATTTTAAGTCAAGTGATAGCGATTGTTGTATGAGTCGTACGATTTTTGAATCAAGCACGGGCAACGCCGGGCCATGCTGCTAGTGTGATATAGAAATAAATTGTCGTTGCCGGAACTTGAGTTTGAACATAGATCGTCAGTGAGTAAACACAGGCGTTCCTATTATTGAATTAAGTAGATCACGTGACCATAGAGGAAACACATATATAGGAAGTGGCGTAACGGCTAGGTTGATCTCTATTTCTAGTCTATCTTCTATACTATAGGGATATCTATTTCCACTCCTTCCTCTATTATTATAACGACCGCTATTCTCTACACTATTCACTGTACTATTTCTCTATTTGGATTACTATACGGGAACGAGTATTATCGAGCAAGTTCTATTCGTGCGAGTGCTATTTGATGGCGTCTGACAGCAGCATTATTCAACAACGTGCTATAATAGTATCTGCCATTACAAAGTCTCTACTACAACGAGAATTACGAAATTGACAAAGAGTGTTCATTGACATCATAAAAATATATGGGGAGATTGTCCAGCATATGCGGGAGAATAGGAATTACATAGCCGTCCAATAGAATTTTTTTGGGGGGGTGGATGTTCTAAGGACACTCATCAGTAGGAACACATCTCTGTCGCTTCAAGTCTCGTCTTCATCTGTGAGGAGATTGTCCAGCATTCACTGCCATATAGGAGATTAGATATTAAATAGCCGCCCAACACTCTTTTCTTTGTTTCTAAGGACACTTGTCAGTAGAACCACATGTCTGTCGCTTCAAGTCTCTTCTTCATCTGTAGTGTGTTTATCGTGGGATATATTAGAATAAAGGATTTCATTTACTCACCGATAATTGACCAATGCATGTTTGACCACTTGCTCTGATTGTCGCCTAACCAGTGTATTGTGTATTTCTGACTACCGGGAAATGTTGAGCGGCTCAAAATGAACGGACGTTTCTCGGGGCGCAATTTCCGCAGGACACTGTAAAAAAAAGGTTTTATTCAGCATTTATAGATAGTTTTATATAACAAGATACATTTCGTTTGTCCCTTACTGGCAAACAAAGAGAGAAAGACGCCAAGTTCGTCTACCGATTTAAGAGATTTTTCCATATAGACATTCATTTCTTAAAGATGCGTTAGGGTTTGCCGGTAATGTAACGGTTCGTAACATTCACTCTTGCAAAAATACTTGGAGGAAAGGGATGCAACCATCCTGAACTCCAGCTTTAGGTAACAGGAATACTATGGTTGGCAACCACTGTAGCCGGGGAACAACGCTGTCTTTACAACCGGATTGTATGCAGCCCTGGCAATGCTTTTACAATTCTACCATTGAAAAGATTAAATAGTTCTCAATTAACCGAAATGGATTCTATGATCTTCTCCACTTGGGCGATATCCCCACTTGTGGGCGATTTCATCAGTTGGCTAGGCGATGAGCAGCTGAAAAGAAAATGGTGGGAAAAGAAAATTTTTGTGATCGATTTAGGATTTTGAGTATTAAAAAGTTATTTAAACATATTTTACCCACAAAGTAATAATCAAAGGAGATATACAAAGAACCTGTACAAAAAAAAAAACACACACACAAAAGACATGAGCGGCTAAATGATAATACCTGGATCATAGTCCTAGATAAGATATAAATATCCTCGCAAACAATGAATATGTTGGTATTTTCTGTAGTGTTGAGAAGGGATATTAACATTCAGATAGTTATTCAGGTGAAATATCTTCTTTCGGGTATAAATCAAATAAAAGAAGACCCGGAACATCAAAAAATATTCACTGAATTTCTATTATTTACTTTTTTTCGATGACGTAAAAATGTTGGGAACTGCTGCGTTCTGTGTCGTCTCTGGGTTCTCACGCTACAACGTAAAACGGTTATGAACGATAAGGACCATTTCTTTTTGTTATTCTTTTTATAATGAGAGAGTGGTGGTAGCTGGGTTTCTAAGAGACAGCGGGAGGAATGCCGTGACATGGACGCATGTCGCACGTTGGCTCAGCCTCCCTCTGGGTGTGGTCTTAGCAGGTCAGTAACCTGGGTATGAGTGGAGTACCAACCCATAAGAAATATATTTGCCCTATATTGAATTCGCGCCGTTTTGGACATATGAAAAAAAACAACGGAAATCTCTCACTGTTTTCCGGAGTGCCTCGTGGGTGTGGACCCACAAGAAACCTTGTGGCCCTATATTGAATTCGCGCCATTTCGGACATATAAAAACAACAAAGAAAGGAAACCTCTCACTGTTTTCTGGAGTGCCTCGTCGGTGTGGACCCATAAGAAACCTTGTGGTCCTATATTGAATTCACCCATAATAAAACAACAAAGAAAGGAAACCTTGTTTTCTGGAGTGCTCGTCGGTGTGGACCCATATTGAATTCACGCCATTTTGGACATATAAAAACAACAAAGAAAGGAAATCTCTCACTGTTTTCTGGAGTGCCTCGTCGGTATGAACCCACGAGGCACACCGGCCAATCGTACTCTCTAACAGAAACCCTGATCTTCGAATAAATTTAATAATAATAAAAAAAAAAACTCCGTAACTGGAATTGCATTATTATCGCTGCTTTTGGTTTATATAAAACCTGTGATAACCAGCACTTAAATGAAAATGAAAACAGTTTGTTTACCATTTGAGAAAAGTTTTCTTTTTCTTTTATTTCTTTTTTTTTGTTTGTTTGTTTATTCCTTTAAAGATATATCCAAGCAATCGTATTTTTAATTTGTGATATTAATATATTTACTTATTCTCGATCGAGGATCTCTTATATATTACTTATGTGATTTCTTACATATTTTCTAATTCGCGTAACTGATTCTATTCACTATGCTTCCATTAAATTATCCAAGAAAGTGAGTTGTTTACAGATCTTATCAATTGACGTGTATCTCTAACAAAACAAACTTATACTTGACAATTGGTCTGGCGTGTGTACGTTCTTCACCATATTTATTCAAACATCGACATATATTCAGAACCTACATAATTGGGATCTCAAAATAAAATAAAAACTCAATATTATCTTGCATATTGAATTTATTGAATATGTGAATAACATAACAATTATCAGCGCTGAAGAACTTAGGACAGGCATGAATCCATTGGCCCTGTTTCACAAGGCTGTAGGTTAAATAGTAGAGTAGACTGTATTCTCCAGGCTTTGTTGTCAACTTAAGGAGAGGTAAGAAGCACTCCGACTAATAAATAATTCTAAACTACTAATAAACTTTTAAAAAGGCATGAATCCATGTTCCCTACCTCACCAAGTTGTAAGTTAAATAGCAGAATAGACTGCATTCTCTTGGTTGCCACCTAGTTAAGGAGAGATTGATTGATTGATTTGAAGGGATTTATCAAACCTTTAACCGTGTATTTAAAGCCAGAAAATATTTTGAGATTCTAAGATATTTTTTGCAGATAATAATGATTTTAACTGATACAAATTCTACTATTTAACCCATATCTGGGGGAGAAGAGATGGATTCCTACCTTTTCTAAGTGTATTTGCCCGCAACTGAATATAACGAACCCGACTGGACTTACAACTCGGCTGTTTGATTACCAATTCCGAGCCGTTATACATTACTCCACACCACCTGTCCAAGCTTACAACACATAGCATTCCCAAGCGGGGGCACCTAGGCGAGGTGTAATGATTAGCAAGCTTGTCTCGCTAGATCAGTTACGACTGAAAAGTTCGAACCTCACACACTTCCGGCCTTGTACCACATGTAAGCTACACTTAGAAAATAACCATAACATTCCCAAGCGGTCACCTATCGAGATACTGACAAGGATCGACCTTGCTTAACCTCGGTGACCGTACGAGAAACTTAATCAGACTCGTAGGAAATCCAAGAGGATACCATTCCATTATCTTTTGCCACTGAGTTCGATATTCACTAGGAGCTCCCTGATTTTGACCTTCTGCCGTATCTGGGCTCTGAAACAGCCATTAAACACATCTATCTTTCCTTCTTTCTTACTTTCTTTCTTTCTTTTATTTTCTCACTTAAAACAATTGGTGTCTTTTGCCCTCTTTTCACGCGATCAAAACGGAATAGTCCATTATTTATGAGATATTGGCAAGAGACGTGAAACACTTTTATCTTCCTTTATTGAATAATTAACTTCTTTCGGGCCAAATTCCCTTCTTGCGAACATTTCTCTTAACAATAATTTTAAAATAATTCAGCAGACGAGGTTTGTTTATTTTATCTATTGTAATTGGATTTTTGGCGATTGCTTACTCGATTTCCGCCGTTCGACATTGCGCGTCTAAATATGCTGCTATTATCGGAGTCAAAATCGCTTCTCGGCCTTTTGGGTAAGAACAATTTGTAGTTTACGTTCTTATCATCTTAATCTGATTCTATCTCTCAGGTCTATCTTCCGTTCTTTCTTTCTTCTTTCTTTCATTTTCGGACTTTAACCTTTTCCTCTCTTTCTACGTGATCAATACGAGAAATGGTCGATTATTTATGAGGTACTGACAGGACAAAACAGTCGTACTAAGTCACGAAAGAAGGCACACACAAACATATATATACACACATATATATTACCAACTTACACACACACATTATATATATATATATATATATATATATATATATATATATATATATGTATATATATATATATGTATATATTAATATATATATAAATATATATATATATATATATATTATTAATATGCATATATATATATATATATATATATATATATATATATATATACTCACCTCTCCTAAAATTCTCTCTGTTAAGGTTTAATCTCCCCTTCTAATATGTTACCCTCATACTTACACTCTCTCTAAATTCTGTTTTTATTTCCGGAGTTGTTTTTTCTGTTTTTTTTTGAATTTGTAGGTCTGATGAATTGGATCGTATTTACGATTCCAATGGAATAAATTATGACCATGGAATATTAGTGTTTAAACCTTTTTATTATATCCTTACTCTGTCCTGACATTGAGTTCTACCTGGATTCTATCCTCTTGGAATTTTTATTCAAAAAAATATACATGTATGGGTATTTATATATTTTGCTTATGTATGTATATTTACCACTAATACCTATTTTACACTAATTACCACTAATATTATATATATATATATATATATATATATATATATATATATATATATAGCATCTTACCAACTTACCTCTCTTTAGCCATTAACGTTATATTGGCCATGGGAAAACAGCGTCTTTAATTTAAAATTTTTAAATCTGTAATCCTTATTTTTTTCCTTTTTTTTTTACAATCTTTCCACTTTTTTCTATTTCTTAAAAATCAATCTGCGTCGCATTTAATTTTTCTCCAGTTTTATTTACTTTTTAGCAACATAGACCTTGTGCCCAACGACCTGTAATTCATCGAATCTTAAGTCGCAGACCAACACGTTTGTACTATATATATATATATATATATATATATAATGGACTCTCCCGTCGGTTTCGATGTATGAGGATCTTACCTTAGTTGATTCAGGTATGAAATTGTGTGCAATAATCTTAATTGGCATTTAAGACCCGATAGTGTAACAAAGGAGGACACATATGGAACAAGAGTGAGGATGGTGAGATGAGATCACTGTTTGATTGGCTGACTTTTTAGTTCTTGCTCTCGCTTCTTGAAGATGATTCAGACAAGCAGATTGAAAACTGCTGAGTCCCCTAAAACACGTTGATGTCCATTTTACCCTCTCCAAGGCTAACCTCTCAAGGGTGTTATGTGGTATATTGACAGCTAAAATGTTGCTCTTCAGCTTGTCTTTGTATTTGAGCTATGGGCGTCCTACATTCCTGTAGCCCTGATCTAACTGGCTGTATATTAGGATCTTGGGTATCCTGTCATTATGACATTCTCAAGAAAGGACCAGTTCACCATAAATGAGACTGTATGAGAAAAGTCTCTATTCCTCCAATATTACACTTGTTAAACAGTTCTACGTTAGATGTCTTGAAGGTTATCTTCACAGATTTCTAAATATAAAAGACAACGAATATCAATTATGAGCCGTTCTAAACGTCTGGATATTTGTTTTAATTCCGGGCGAAAATAAAGGAAAAAATTGTCCAATATTTGGATATTTTTTATTATGCTGTTCCTTGATCTAAAGTTTCAGATCACATGAACCATATTCGGAGTAGTTGTATGGACATTTAAACAAAGATATTCACCATCAAAGATGATATTCTGTTATATTGACATAGAAGATTGCTATGCAACAACAATATATATATATATATATATATATATATATATATATATATATATATATATATATATATATATATAAAACACTTAATGCTGGTTTTGGAATAAATATGACGCTTTCAAAATTACACAATATCATTTGAATTTATTTCTTACACTGAATAGAATTTTGAATGAGAGATAAAATAAAAAAGCAATGACATGTCAGATGAATTCGAATACACAAACGTTCAGATTTTGTTAAACTATTTAAGATAAATCTGAAATTGTTTGAACTGTGAATATTAATGGAAATACGTGAAATAAAGTTCTGTACAATTGCCCCTTAAAATTCATTCATGAAGACAGAATTTATATGTATGTTAGCAGGGGAAAACCATAGATAGATAGATAGATAGATAAACAATGAACAATTTAGATAGATAAACAATGAACAATTTAGATAGATACATGCATACATAGATATATAATGAAAAGTATGAATAGATAATGACATGTATAGATAGATAATAAAAAAGATAGATAATGAAAAGTTTAGGCAAGAAGATAGATAATAAACAGTTGAGATAGATAAGAAACAGTCGAGATAGATATAGAGATAGCTAGATAGAAAATGAACAATTTTTATATAGATAGATAATTAACAGTTCAGATAGATATTGAACAGTTTATATATATATATAACAGTTTAGATAGATAATTACCAGCTTAGATAGATAGGTAAATAACAGTTAAGATAGATAGGTAATTAGTAGGATAGATAGATAGATAGATAGATAGATAGATAGGCAATTACCAGTTTAGATAGGCATATAGATAGATAGAGAGATAGTACGAAATGGACTAAGTCCGACGATTTTAATATATTTTATTGTTATACGTTTTACGTAAATACTCTGTTTATAAAAAACAGAAATAACAACTTTTACCGGCCTGAAGTCCCGATAAATTTCATAGAAAATATGCGCCCTCTTGTCACGAATCGAATCTGCATCCTACACAGAACCGTCATATAGCCTGACGTGCTTTACCAGTTTAGCTACGAAGGAGCGCCTACTTAGCGAGCTAGATTTTACTGCTTTTAAATTACAAACTTCCTATGGTTTCATTCGAACGTCCATATCTTCTCTAATCTTCATTGTAAAATATCAGAAATCGTGATAATAGATTATCTACAATTATCTACCTAGAAAATGTGATTACATACCTACAAATGTGAAATATTGTAAGGATCTGGACGTATTTTTTTAATCACTTCATCTCCAAGCGATGCAATAAAGCTAATAAGACGCAAGTGTTTACTGTGTATCTCTGTCTATAAAAGGCAGGATGTGTGTGTGTGTGTGTGTGTGTGTGTGTGTGTGTGTGTGTGTGTGTGTGTGTGTGTGTGTGTGTGTAACGAACGCACTGCCGCAATTTTTGACGGATTTGCACCAAAATTTACATGCACTTGCTCCAAGTTAGCGGGAAGGCCAAGACTGACGTTGCATTTCCCAACTCCCATCGATAGTGGAAATAATCGATTTTTTCATGCTTCTACGGCAGTTTTCATGTAGTTTGCGGCCATTTTCTACTGGCCAGAGTGAGACCCAATAGCTGGCTGCCACGAATAGGCAGGAAGATTCTAATGGCCAGCGTGAGAGTCAACAGCTGACTGACACGAATATTAACTAGCATGCTAGCATGCTGTGACACTATTTAGCGTTTGGCTAACTAATTAAGCGTGGAAATTAAAAGCGAGAAATACTTAAGGCGAGAAGAAGCTATCACAAAAGACATACTGAGCGATGTTATTTTTTTTTTAACTAAAGAAGAGTGGTAAAGATTTTATTTTCATTTTCGAAGAAAAGTATTTTTTCGCAGAAGATAGGAAATTCGTAAGATCTCGGATCTGTCAGAATTAATTTATGCCATGTCGCGGCGAATAAAAGATAGCAATCTGCCCATGGCAATAATGAAAATTTCAAATTGGTCAAGTGGCTTAAAAAGCGAAATGCTAGAAGATAATCAGAATTAGGTCGAGCATCGACCGAGAAAGGGATCAGCTGAGACCACCCCAAAGAAAAAGGGAGGAGGATGAGAAAAAGGAAAAGAATAACCATGGAGAAGGACCATCTGTTTTATGTCCAGACCTTGCCATGATAAAAGTTTGTTACCTGGACAGATTGTTGACGACAGAAGTACGAAGGCGTTGAGGATACAAAGAGATTCACTTGACCACCCCGACGATTACTCGACGAAAATCTCGTTGATGAATTCCAGATGACATTCAGTTAAGATAGCGACTTAATGACCACACTACGAGTTGTGGGGGTTCTAGTCAGGGAAAAGAAAGAAAAGAAAAAGGAAGATAATTTTTTTCTTTGAGCGATAATTGTAAACTGAGGCCAGTCTAGCCACACCCACACTGCCGAGCGTTCATTGGCTGAATGGTGGCGTGAGCGATGGGCGAAGGTAAACATATGAGAAAGAAGGGAAACCTGTTGACGCCTCTGAGGCGATTGGTGTGAGATACCAATATGAGAAAGAAGGGAAACCTGTTGACTCCCTCTGAGGTGATTGGTGTGAGATACCATTATGAGAAAGGAAGAATTTGGGCGGACAATTTCCTTTAAGAATCCCTCTAAAACAGAAAATAATGGACTTCGAAAAATGGAAAGTGATAAATTTTCCTGTCAGATAACAAAGAAAAACCTTATCCGGATTTGGAATTATCGAGGAACCCAAACCACGACAGGCCCCCACCCGGTTTTGGTCGGCGTCCATATAAACGAACGTCCACAGGGCAGTCGCAGTGGCAGCTGGGCAGACGCAGACAGAGTGACAGAGCAGACAGAGTTGAGCTGTGAGCTCGGAGACCAGCCTCGCAGCTGACTGAAAGATACCCACGTATTCCGACTTAGACTTCTAACCAAAAACAATTCTTTTAAGAACGAACACACACCACCCAAACAATCAGCCAAGGGTTAGAACGTCACATTTGGCGCCCGACCAATACCAAGTCACATTGGTCGTCACAGGATAGCACGGAGGCGGAGGCACAGGGTGATGTCACAATGCAAAAAATCGATAGCTGCATTCGTCACAAGTGGGAAAAATTTAAATCTGGCTCATTCGCTTGCTTAAATTCAACGTTGATTCTGATTCCGCAGAACTGGGTTGGATGTGAAAAAGTATTTGTTGTTAACATTCTTTTTTCATTCGGTTTTTCCAGTTACGAGTCCTTTTTTTAAAGCTGATCGTTTTGTGTTCATTTTGTTTAGTTCTTTTTTCGAAACAGATTTAATGTTTAGTATAGAGCTTAGAAAAAATTTGCAGTGTGAGATAGGCAAGAAGTAAGGCATGTAGCAACATCAACACGGCAAAGGGCACTCCTTTAAAGGCATTGAAGGGCAAAAATATTTTAAGTCAAGTGATAGCGATTGCTGTATGAGTCGTACGATTTTATGAGATGGGCATTTATGATGTTACGATTTTTGAATCAAGCACGGGCAACGCTGGGCCTTGTTGCTAGTGAGATAATATGAGGAAAACACTAAGGACAGAGAACAATAAATGAACAGGAATTAATAAGACAGAAGATAACGATTGACGTAGCGTTCAAATTTTTGAAAATCAAATAATACTTAGAAGCAAGAAGCAGTCTGAAACTTCTATAAGTGAGACATGCCAGAGAAAAAAAAACTCTAAAGTGGGTTTCAATCAAAGAATTTGAATTCACTTTAAAGTATTTACTACATATTTTCGTCTTATAAATTGCTTATCCTCTTAATTAAAGCAGAAGGATTTTTAAAATCAAATTTATGGTCAGACTCATTACGGGAAGCAACTAATACCCTGAGTGTGTTGTTTTCTTATACTTTATTTACAAATGTAGAGATTTTCCAAGCGTAGCTTAGATGTGGCACAAGGCCGAAAGTATGGTACATCCAGTGAGGATCGAACTCACTTTTCAGTAGTACCTGATCTAGCAAGACAAGCTTGTTAACCATTACACCACGCCGAGGTGCCCCTTTATTTACAGGTGTAAGTGTAAATTCTTCCTTCAGGTTTTAGCTTATTATTAATTTATTTTGTATGAATTAATTTTCTTAATATTGTTTTAATATATAATTTAATAGAATAGCTACTGCTATTACTCAAGCGAAACAATGTAAGTGGACAACATGGAATGATATCTAACCCATTAAACTTTCGTGGAATTCATTAATTGCCATGGAACCATTGGCGATATCTTTCCTTCTTCGATCTACATACGATCTTCTCCCAAATGAAACAAACCTGAAAATGTGGGGATACACAGATACAGATCTCTGTTTTTCGTGTCAAAAAGACCGAGGTACCTTGCGTCATGGGCTTTCTGCTTGTCCACATTCGCTCCATATGTACACGTGGTGACACAACAAGGTATTAGAGGTGATAAGGGATCTAATAATGTGTGACAGCAAATCAACAGCTTGTGGCAACCAAGGAAACTAAGATTGAATTCCATAAGGAAAAAACAAACAGCCCCCAATATAAAGCTGCTGACTGGTTCCAGTGATTGGAAGGTTTCAGTGGATCTAAGGACATCCTTAAAATGTCCAATACACATCGTACAGACAGACAAGCGTCCCGACATTGTGTTGTGGTCCGACTCAAAAAAGCATGTCTTCCTAATAGAGTTAACAGTCCCTTGGGAAGAGAACAGGGTGGAGGCACACGAACTAAAGAAAAACCGGTGCAAGTCACTGCGTGCCGAATGTATGGAAAATGGTTGGACGTGTAACGTGATGCCAATTGAGATTGGGTGTCGTGTGTTTCTGGGACATTCGGTCATTTCCTTCCTTTCAAAAATAGGCATCACTGGCCGTTGGTTGAAAAGCGTTTCGCATCGCTTTCAAAACACTGTTCAACACGCGTCAAGTTGGATTTGGTCGAGATCAAAACAAGCAAATAAAATGCGCGCAACCTCACGACCTAATATGCGCAAGTGAAATATTTGCGTGGTCGTCTATAACGATTTTTACGAGCGCGTCAATAACGGCAAACGCGTTCAGGAAACTTTCATTACAGATAGATTTTACTTAGAGGAACGAGCTTATCCTCATACCCTACCTGGTAGCAAATGCTGCTGGTGGCGCCAGGGGTGGCGGTCCCGCCATAGCCACCGAAACCGTGATATCACCCCTGGTCGGCGGCTGATGAAGACAGGGTATAGCACGTGCTAACACACGTTGTATGTTAAAAAAATATCATTTTCTTCTATATATACCAGGTCTAACAGCAAAATTGTCCAAAACGTAACATCATAAATGCCCATCTCATAAAATATTTAATATTTAAAAAAAAAAAAAACGACTACACTGAGTTACTTTTTTCCAGTTTTTTAGAAAATACGTCTAGCCATCTTGTGTCGTAAGAATCATTGAAAACCCCTTTGAGGTATTCAGCTAGAAAGAGAACAGGTTAA